ACACGCAATAAATGTTTACTGCAGCTTGTCAAAAATGGAACTATGGTATGTGACTATCATTATTGGGTCCATAGAAATGGTCACTTAAGGTGAGCGTAAAATAAAAGTCTTATATTTACAAAGGCTCTAACTTTTATTTCGGCCATTATCATCTATTAATAACTAAATACATATTTTCAGTGTAACTTGTTATTGGTGGAGTTTGTTCCCAGAAACACTGTTACAGTTAACTTATGCGTAAGTACTTTCTTTAGTAATCACTTAACGAATGTCACCAAAGTCGTCAATCTGCGGTTCGCTTGCCGAGGGTAATAGACGAAGGAATTTAAGATTGCGTATAGGCATATCCAAACTTTGAAGTAACATAATGCAGTATGCGACAAAGTCTGTATTTTATTCTTAAACTTGAATTCATGGCAATATTATTTTATTTGTACTGTTCGTAATTTTCCGACAACCGTGATTAAATCAGAGGTAGTAATTTTCAGCACTAGTGTACAATCATGTTAGGAGAGACGGGCAGATGCTGCAAACTCAGTAAAAGTTAGAAGGAATACCGCTGAAATGGTAGAAGTGTTAGGTTCAAATTTAGTAAAAGTAGAAACGTTTGAAGACTCAAGAATCCCTCACAAATTGTTGTCAGAGGCGCCTAAATTGACGTCAGAATATAATCTCAACAATGAGTAGTGATGATAAGCTTTTGTTGTTACGGCATTGAACCTCTCGGTTTCATGTGCCAGATAATTTAGTGCTGTGAACAAGTCTCATTGTGCAGTGTAGTAAATGATCCGGAAGTACGTCTACAGAGAAGAAAGGAATTTGCATTTTTTCCCTGTAAAAGCGGAGCTATTGTGTTTCTATGGAGATGAAGCAGACAGCTATAAGAACCCGTCATGTGAATGAAGTGGTCAGTGACTGGCCTGTATTGTTAGGTACATCATTTGGGCGGTGTGGTTTACTGCTTAGCATGAGAAGGCGACTTCTGTACCAGCCATGTGTACTCATATTACATTTGCAGTAGATGGTCAGTCGCCAAAGGTAACAAAAGATGTGATTTAGAAGCAACTAATTATGACATAAAGGCAGCGGGCTTGTTACTCGCTACTCATAAATGCACACTACAAAGACAAAGAAACCTCCCATATGGGAGGAGGCCAAGCCCGACTTCGGGCTGTTTCGCCGTAGAAGGAGAAGAAGAAGAATTATGACATAAAATAACCTGTTACCCTTAGGAGGTTATCCTCAGGGCTTTGTGAAATTTACTTGTTATAGCTTAAACGACTTAAACTGTTTATATTAGTATTCCGACAGGAAGAAAGAAAAATAAGACATGTTACACTTCAGTGGTCACGATGGAAAACTGAATCTAAAAATATTCCTTATTATATAAGCTAATAAAGATGTTTTGAGGCCATGTCTTCATATTTCGCTATCAAAAGTACAGTTATTTAAAAATTATAAGAATCTAAGTATACTTATTTAAAACTTGGTATCAGAATCCAAAAATAGTCATAATTTGCATAAACAACTGTAATTTTTGCTGTTACAATTAAGGTATTCAGGAATTACTAATGTGACAAAATGCCTACAAATATGTCTGCTACGCATTGTAGTGTATAATCGTATATTCTTGTACCACTGTTTCGTTCCGTTTGTATCTGATTACAATTCAGATCTGGTAAGAAATGGCTAGACTGAAAGTATCTGATAACTTCACGTAAGGATCATTATTTGTCCCATTTATTACACCGCTTTTTATTGCTAAAATAATACGAATTTGTATATTCTGCTAGTATATTATCAAAAAAATATCAGCTTTTATAATCCGGCTTACGAGCATAGAATTTGAACAAATCTCCTGCGTCAAAAAAGTTTGGGAAACCCTGACGTGTAGCATATTGTAAGAACCTAAAATCTATACAATCAATACAAACATCTACATTGTACGAAGGCAGCGTCACTCTGAAAAGCGCTTCTGTTAACCATTACACCAGAGCAGAATCGATCCGAATTCTGTTCCAGATATGTTGCTAAAGAGACCAATTTACAACGTTCTAGCGAGAATTAAAGGCCCGTGATCCATTCTGAACGAGGTGGTCACTAAACTGATCGACAAAACTGAATATGGGGGCACTGACATGTGATCTAGAGAAATAGTTAATATCTGTACCGTTGTCATGCTAAGAGCATCACAAACAATTCACGTCATGACAGAATATGAAATTAATGTGGCCCAGAGAACTATAATTTGTCTTGTTTTGTTTGAATTTATGGATTTTGAGTGATTCTCAGCCTAAACAGGGATTATTTACTTGAACAGCAGCAAACCATCTAATATTTGTAATTGTGAACGTTTGTGTTTTGTGTGCGGTATGGGCTGAATTCCTAAAAAAAATTAGACCAGTTTCGGCTGCAAT